AATTGCACTTACGTTTTGTTGGATCGGTATATGACTGTAGGCCTTAAACTATGTGTGCGAGTGTTTGTCTCACTCTCTTTGAATGACTGATAGGCTAATAGAAATGGAAAGATAGATAGATAGAGAGTGTATGTATGTATGTATATGTAATGAAAATGACGGAAAAGTTATGAGACAATTGGTTTATGAGTGAAAAGAGAGACAGAGAGAGAAGTCATATAATATAATGGAGAAGCGCTCCTTCTCTTACTTTAGTATTTCCACTCTCTTGGGCCCCAACTTTCCGCTATTACTTCCAATGCTCTCTCACTCACTTACTATGGCTTATGTACGTATATATATGTGTAGCCAAATGGTGTAAATTGTGAGGACATGGCCGTTATTAAAAATAAGTGGTAGATTATGCAAAATGGCATTTAAATGCCAGTCATGTCCCCTCAAAACATTTACAGTATTCAAAACAGTATATTCTGTATATATATAAATTTGTATATATATTTATTATTGTTATTTAGTAATAGTCTCTCATCTCATACAGTATGCAATTGATATTAAACTTTTAGTATATATAATAGACTCCCAGAAAAAATCATTATTAACGAAGAGATCTCTGTTTTTTCTCTCTCTCTTTCTCTGAGAGCTTAGAAGAAATTAACACAACATTAGTTGATGTGTATTAACCCATTTGAAGGTTAAATGACTAGATTTAGGCGTTAAATGCATTTTCCCATTCACTTCATTATTTCATTGATGAGCTTTCTCTCACTTTATTATTATTTTTTATTTTAATATTATTAAGTTTATATACATTACATTTAATATACTATAGTTTAGTTGTGTTGTTGTTGTGATTCATTACGGGCCACTCATATCTCTTTATATGATCCGCTAATAAATTAAAATATGAGTCAAAATAACATTTTTCTACATCACCTAAAAGGCAAATATGTGTTTCTCTCTATCAGAGAGAGAGAGAGAGCTCCTCTCTTTCTCACTCTCAGTAAGTTTTTTTGGTTTGGGTGGTTAGGATGGGCTGGTCAGGTGCCCTCTTCACGCTATAAAGGCTGCATTTTTTCCAAACATAAGAGCACAACACACACACATACACAGCACTGGGTTTGGGCTAAACCCATAGTATATTATGAAGTGTCTGTTTCGGCATTTTTGGTATGTGTTGTGCCAACACAAAGAAGTTGTGTGTGAGACTCACGCGCCACACAAATGATGAGAAACTCGCGGCACTTGATGTGTGTGTGTGTGTGTACGGCCTGTTATGTTGTGTGTATGTGCCCCATCTCTCTCTCTCTCTCTCTCTCTACTATGGGATGGGATGTATGTATGCATAGATAGATAGAAAGGCCAAACCATTGAAGAGGCGAATAAATAATCTTTTTTTTAAATGTCTGGATATAAGAGAAGTCATGTGTTGTTGTTTCAGAAATAAATTCCATTGATTTCTAACTGAACTAAAGTTTTTTTTTGGTTGAGATCTACTGCACGGTTGGAGAGAAATGTTTGCCAAACAATTATGTGTTCACTAAGCGCTTGTAGTACACACAGTATGTTGTGTTGTTGGCCTGTCTTATGGTTATGTATGTGCCCTTAGAGATAGACAATTGAAGTGTATATATATATTTACTAAATACAATACCATTTATATACTGTATATAAATTATATATAATTTAGTGAGAAAATGCATTTAATAAGATATACAGATAGAGATCGAGATTGCGATCAGTTGTTTGATCTATCAATTTGTGACACATTTAAGCTCAACGTTTATATAGCTATATATACTGTATATCTATGGCCAATGAATGTGTTATTATTATTTATGATCATTAAATGGTTATGAATGGCAATTGCAATCATGAAATTATTTGTTTTGCTTTTTCCCTTTAATTTTTACTCTCTCTCTCTCTCTCTCTCTCTCTCTCTCTCTCTCTATATATATATATATATATATAATGTTTTTATTGCCAAACACTTAAATAGTTATTATATCTAAGAGATAGTCTATATGGAGATATCGATCAATACATTAATAGCCCTCTCATGCGATTACCATTTGATATGTAAAAACCAATTTGAGTTTAAGACTATTTTTTCCGTTCACTTAATCTAATATTTCCTCTCTTTTTTTTAATAAGTATTATTCAATAGCAATATTAACTAATTGAATGGCAATTTATATACATAATTATCGTTTGTATGTATGTTTTAGGAGTACAGGGGCTTTTAATTTGAGTTTCAATTATGTAAAAGTTTTATGGCAAACCTTATAATTGAAAACTTTTGAAACACACACACACATAGACACACCACAGAAAGTTTTTTTTATACTTTTTTAATTTCATATAATTTAATGTTTCATAAGATTTATATACATTTAAATTTGTTGTTTCTCTTAATTTACTTAAACATTAGTTTTGTTTATTATTATGATATTATAAAGTCTAGTAAGAAAAAAATGTTTATATACATTAAAAATTTATAGAAAGAGAGAGAGGAGAGACCCCAAAAATGTTATATCATAATAGTATATACAATATATAAATGTGAAGCTAATGACATACCATAACTGGTCGGCAAAAATTGTTTTTTATTATAAAATTATAAAAACAGCGCTCAATCTATAATAATATGATGTGAAGGGAGGCTCAATATAAGCGATGTGTGTCCGCCCATATGTATAGCCGTCTTAAAGGGAAAGTGATTGCAAAGAGCGGTGAACTTTGCACTCCTGGCTAATGATTATTATGACCGTCATTATTGGCTAAATTAATTCCCGATCCCTATTGTAAGCCATCAATTAATTTCTATTAATACATCTCACATCAAAATATTATAACACTAGAAAACATGGCATCATTTGTTGCCAGATCTCATGGTATATACTATACTGTATTTTACTTAAATATATGTATATAAATATATATCCCTATCGCTTCTCCATCTCAATCACTGCCGGTGCCTCTCGACTTTTGACTCAATTATGGCACTACTTGTCTATGAATATATACAGTCGCTTTCAGAAGGGTGGTAACTGGTTTTTAGTGAATATCTCACTAAATATAATAGATAGAATAAAACTATTATTTATGGTACTATGGTTTTCTGGGACGGATATTATAGAATCTTAATATTCGATGCAGCCCAACTCAGGGATGTAGGGACAGGGAGGTACTGTATCTCAAAAACTATAATAGATATCAAAATATAGTAAAAATTATTATATACAGGGTAAAAATTCATTTCATACGTGTTTTAGGATTTTTTAAAATATTGAGTTGTTTTCGAACAAAAAATATAAAACTGTCAAAAATGCAAAAGTTTGATATAGGTTAAATTAAAAGTGTCAAGGTGTTTTAAAATTTAACTAATTGATCTTGAATCTATATTATATGCTTAATAATTTGTCTATACATAAATTTTAATTATATTGACTAGTTACTTAGTTATTTAATAAAAACTATTTTTCCATTATATAACAAAATTAATATTAAGTAATATTGCACTTATGTATTATTTAAATTACATAATAAGAAAATAGTTTTTATTAAATAACTAAGTAACTAGTCAATATAATTAAAATTTATGTATAGACAATTTATTAAGCATATAATATAGATTCAAGATCAATTAATTAAATTTTAAAACACCTTGACACTTTTAATTTAACCTATATCAAACTTTTGAATTTTTGACAGTTTTATATTTTTTGTTCGAAAACAACTCAATATTTTAAAAAATCCTAAAACACGTATGAAATGAATTTTTACCCTGTATATAATAATTTTTACTATATTTTGATATCTATTATAGTTTTTGAGATACAGTACCTCCCTGTCCCTACATCCCAGAGCTGGGCTGCATCGAATATTAAGATTTTATAATATCCGTCCCAGAAAACCATAGTACCATAAATAATAGTTTTATTCTATCTATTATATTTAGTGAGATATTCACTAAAAACCAGTTACCACCCTTCTGAAAGCGACTGTATATATGTGTGTTGGCTGTGCTGTTGGTAATCCCGGTGCAAAAGTGAGAGAAAAAAAGTTAAATACCAGAAAACTAGTCATACCATTGAAGATGTGTTTGCTATGCATTCCGATTATTAAATATTGTGTAAAATTGATGATTATTTGTGGTCTTTTGCATTAACGTTAATCGTTATTTATTGCACTTAATATTTATAATATCTCTTTCTCTCTCTCTCTCCCAATAACTTCATATAAACTTAAATAATATAATATTTATTCACTCACTCTCTCAAGAGTTCATTTATTTTAATTTCAATTTATATTTTGAATTTTGTGTTTATAAAGAATGAGATATATATATATATATATATATATAGGGAAAAAAAATCTTTTTTTTTATACTTCAATCACTTTTGGTAATGAGCTCTCAGTTGTGTTGAAACAAGCATTTATAACAAAAAAATAACATATAACTACATAATGCATGTATTTTCTCTCAATTTTTGCCCAAAAAAATTACACAAAAACCACTCGAAACAACATAAACACCTCTTGTCAAGCATTTGCACATCTATTTCCCAGATCCCGGTCCTCACCACACACACACACACACACACACACACACACACAAACACAGCTCAAACATGATCACTGAAACTTAAAAATTAATTATTTTTTGGTTGAATATTATGTTTATATATTTTTCCGATGTTTGGTGAATGACTTTCATATATATTTTGTTATTTATATACATTTATATATATAAAGATTTTTAATTAAAGTCCGATATTTTTCACATGAGTGACAAATAATTTTTGTTATAACCGGTATATATATTAAAAAACGTTTTAATGTACGGTTTATTAAGTCAAAAACATTACTATCAAATAATATATAATTTATATGCAAATGATTTTTTCATTTTATTTTATTAATTTAGTATTTATTCAGTAAATATATAATTAAATTTAAAATCATTAACAAGATTATATTTTTTAATATCTCTATAATAGATTCCGTATCGATAACACGGATCACATAATCGATGTGAACCGGGGGAACGTTGCCTATGAGTACGACCAGGTAAACGTTGTCTGTCCTATCTATACGAAAGGCACCAAAGAGGAGGACATCGAGACGTTCATCATATATAATGTAAGTGTCAACTAATCAGTCACTACACTCTCTATCGTTTCGTTGTTGTCGTCCTATCGACTCGAGACTCGACACCACTACTACTACTACTACTACAGCTCACACCTACCCTTAACTCCAAAAAGCCATGAGCCACCCGTTTATGTCACTGATGACTAATGTGTGCCCACCAATTTTTAGTTTTTTTTATATATAATTTTATTTAGTTAATACTGTTACCAGAAAAAGAGATATACATTTTAAAAAGAAATAAATAGTTTTTTTAAAAGATAAATATCTCTCTCTTTCTCTGCAGTTATTCCGCTATACATTTTGTTTGATTGATTCATCACTCGAATGAATGCAATAAATATTGATTTCAAAAAATGAATTGTCAAATGAAAAGCAATAAAAGCCTTTTTTTATTATTATTATTATATTTAAAATTTGTTGTCATGACTTATACATATTGATATATATCTCACTCACTGTAGATACAGTATTAGTAAATACTTTATTAGCCATAAGTTAGTTGAAGAGAGAGAGAGAGAGAGAGAAAGAGAGAAAAATCAATTGATGCAAATGAATAGTGAACTGCAATTTGCAATTCATTTGAATTTGTAATTTACACACAAAATAAAACTAAATAAAATATATACACTCTTTTTATTATTATTATTATTATTTTGTTTCTGTTATTTTATTTGCTAACCTTTTTTTTATTATTATCGTTGCATATTTCACTTCAGCTAAATATGCTATGCTATGCACTACTTTTTTTTTATCCATATACATGAATAATTGATATAAATTTATTGATTGTTTTATTTTGATTGATTCACTTCCCGGAACAGGTATCTAAAGAGGAATACGACACGTGCACTGTCAGCAATTATGCTACGGCGCGCACCATTGCCGTCTGTGATAAACCGTTTCTCAATCGATATTATACGGTAACGTTTAGGCCATTTACGCCCCAACCTGGCGGCCTGGAGTTCCGACCCGGTCAGGACTACTATTTTGTATCGTTGTCGACCACACCCCGGTCGGGGCCGGGAAAATGTCAGACACATCACATGAAAGTGGTGTTCAAAGTGTGCTGCAAGAGTAAGCCATCGTCGAGTAAGTCATACTCTATAATACAATATCCATCCATCCCTTTCCCCGAACCTACACATATGTTTGGTTATTTGGTTCACTCCCTGTTTTTTACTAATAGCTATTATTAGATGTTTTTTGTTACTTTAGGCTCTCATTTTGTTGCTGTTATAATTAAATAGATTTATCATATTGTGTAATAAATATTTTCTGGCGATATTTTCCTATCTAAATATTATATATAAATTTTTTGACACAAAAGTGCCAAAACTAGGCTCATATTTAGCACGATTTGTATGGTTTTTAAAAAAACATAAAATCTCATTGTTTTTAATGAGTGAGAAAAAATAAAACCAGTGTTTAGTTAATTATGGATTTTTCTATAGCTTATAATATATTCATTTTTTTCTAGTTGTTTTTGTTTTTTTATAGTATGCACTATACAGTCCACAGGTATATATAATAATAAATATATCCCAGAAAAATCTGACACAAAAATGTTTTCAATATATGCTATTTTTATATATATATATATGTACATACCTGTATATAACCAATACATAAAGTAATACTGTAACAGTATATACAGTACTGGACTATATATATATAAATTTATATTTATAGTATGCAGTAATGAACTGAATATATTATTAGTTAAACTAAGATATCGTTTTTATAATCAAAAATAATTTATAAAAAATATTATATATGGAGAGTGTTTATTATATATATATATAAAATCTAAGCATTTTATTAGATGGGCTCTCTATATGTGAGGCAATAATTATTTTTGATAGTAATCGTTTGTTAAATATTTGTCTATTAATTTTTTTTGTTATGGGCTCTCAATGAACAACAACAACAACTACAAAGTTTTATTATAGGGGCCTAAAAGCGGCCCATAAAACAACACATATACCGACACACAATATAACTAAAATTGTTTAGCTCTACCACCAGTACAGTAAAATCCGTTTAATATGATTGTTCCGCACAAACAATGGACTAATTATCTACACCTGAAAGCTTCGGTGTGGTGTTACCTCTTGAGTTATGGTGTCTGTGTGATAGGTTAGGCCATATAGTGAGAGAAGCAGTAAAAACATTTATTTAGAGACAGACACATAAATACATAGAAAAATATTTATTTATATGATTATGTTTTGATACTACTATACTATACTATATTATCCCCTTTTGATATATGTTATGTTGATTTAAAATTTATAGTTTGTTTTTCTGTGAGATATTTAGCGTTAATTAGCTTTTGTTTCATTAGCGATAACCATAAATAGTTTTTGTTGTTTTTAATAAAGTTATTATTATTTATTATTTAGTTATTATTATTATTATTAAAATATATATACACTTTTTTGTGTGTTGAAAATGATTTGCATATTAATGAAATATTGTGTATGCGTTTATTGTTTTAACAAATATTTTGGTTTATATACAATAAAAAATAAATAATAGGTAACAATAGGTTTATTTTTACTCAATTAAGTTATTTTTTACATGTTTTATGTGTACAACAAAAAAATACTAAATTATATTAAATAAAAAATATAGTATCACAAATGGATTTCTTTTAAGGGATATTTAAAAGCCTCCTCTTAACCCCCAATTTAAGTGTATATATTGAGAGCCGCAAAGTTAGGTGTCTTTAATCAAGGGATCAATTGCCGACTGGTGAGGCTCTGAGCGTACCTTCGCTTGAGTTTGAGGGGAGAGAGAGATAGACTATTAGCTGTTGTTATGATGCCTTTGGTGTGAGAGCTGCTATAAGTAATTGTGGGGTCAGTCATGATCTCGACTTTTATAATAAATTCACTGCAGGTTTTTAAAAGGAAAATATTTTTAACACAAGAAATATTATTATTATATACTAGACTTTAGAGAAATAGCGCTTTTTATATAGTTATACACATATGTACAGTAAAACCATGGTTTTAGATATATATATATATATATGAAATACCTGTATATATAATAAAATTTATATATACGGTATATATACTGTATATATATATATAATAAACGTTTTTCTTGTTGCGCTAAATTGAAATAAAGTTGAATAAAACTTTTTTATTTTTATTTAATAAATCGTTTTCAAAAACTATTTTTATATAAATAAAATTTCTTTCTCTCCAACTAAAAGTATTTCCTAAAAAATATAATTACAATGTTTTGTATTGTCCGTCCGTACAGATCATCCGCAATCGGCCTACTCTACGGCCCGTCCGCCAAATAATAATAACAACCGCCAGTCCTTTGATAGTACCGGTAATTCCTCGTCAAAGGGCGTGCCAGAGGTCAGCCAAACTGAGTTGAAAACCAAAATTGTAACAAATAATAATAGCGGTAACGGAGCACAAACTATTGATACATTTACACGAATTAATGAAAACCCACTGTCCGTTAATCGGCCACTTATTTTCAATAATAATAATGAGAAACCAACTCTTATTAGCTCTAATATTGATAAAACAGTTATAATCACAAATGATAACAATTGGGAAGATAACAACAACAACAATCCCCGACAATACTACTCGTCCACACCTGAATCCAAACGTATCAACAGTGGATCAGATATTGATTCAATCAATACTAATAAACAAAATACAATTAATACAGTTAACAATAATAATAATTTTATTACGAATAATGTTAATAATAATGAAAATACTAATAATAATGAAAATCTAAACAGTGATAATATTATAATGCATGAAAACAGTGACAAATTGGTTGACATGAATATAGATCACTGTCCGCCGGCACTATCCCGACACTTGTCCTGGAACTGGACTCTTGTGGGTCAATCTGTTAACCAGTCCTGTCCGGGCGGTTCGCAGGGTTTAGCCCGCTGGTCGTGTTCGTACTCTAACGGCAAGCCTTTCTGGACACCGCTGAAGCCTGATTTGTCTGACTGTTCCTCATTATGGGTCTCCCATTTGGAGCATCGCCTTAATCTAAAAACTGAACCGATTGTCTCATTAGCTGATGAATTGGCTAAAGGTTGTCGAGAGAAGACATTGTTTGGTGGAGACCTCTTCAGAACCACTAATATTATCAATCATTTGGTGCTGAGGACGGAAAAAGTACAGTACGAGACACACGACGACCAACAGAGAAAACATGTCATCAGAGAAATGCTAAATGTATTTGAAATTATCTCATCTGTTATTAGATTTTAAATTAATTAATGATTTTGTATTGTTTTTTGATTAACAGTCTATTCAAGACATTGTCAGCAATCTCTTGGAAGATAAACAATTGGAAGCGTGGAGTGACTTATCTTCTGAATACCAGAAGTCAATCATAACAACTCAGATCAATGCATTGGAAAGGTTGGCCTTAATGTTAGCTGAAATCAAAACACAAACCAATGACTTTCGTAGAGCCCATCAAAATATATGTACGAAAAGTTTGATTACATTTAATATATTATTTGCTAATTTATAATTTTTAAAAATTTCAATATTATTTTAGTTTTATCGATACACATACGTTCCGTACAATCACTCAACAATGGTCTACATTTACCAGCAATAGTGGATACCATCGATAATCAGCCAAACGGTGTTACACTTCATTCAAACAACATTTATCTCTCACCGCAAACATTGAAAGACCAATCGTCGGCTTTCGGTGTCGTGAAAGTGATTTTTGTTATGTATAAAAAGTTAGGCCATCTCTTAAAGCCTAAGACTGAAAACACAGTTATGTTGGCCACTGATGGTGGACTACAATCACTTAATGTTAGTCGAATCATCAATTCGGATGTGTTTGGTATACATCTAAATACTGTGAGATATACATTATTAAGTAAACCAATTGAGTTTACATTAAGACATTTGTTCACCGAAAACGTGACAAACGCCAAGTGTGTCTATTGGGATATCAATCGCCGAGACTGGTCTGACCAGCGGTGCCATACAATGGGCTCTAATCGCACGCATACCTCTTGTAAATGTTATCATTTAACCAATTTTGCCATTTTAATGGAGTTAAATAGTAATGAGGTAAATATAATAATTATAAAACATTAAATAATAATTAGGTTATACCAATCAAATTAAACTAATATTTTGATCTAAATTATTATTATAGCAATTAACGGATAGTGAACCGCTATTTCGTGTCATAGCTGTCATCAGTTTCTCCATATTAATCATAGTCATAGCCATCGGTTTCATAACATTAGTATCATTCAGGTATTTATTAATTAACTGCATGTTTTTGTGTGTTTTGATCGTTAATAACTAAAAAATGGTATTTATGTTACCAAAAGATTGTTTTCAAACACAGGCATAAATGACACCTGGGCTCGAATAGTACGTATATCTAGAAATTTGAAGCCAATCTGTTTGGACACTACGCCAACAAAAACAATAGACACGACCACACGTGTGCCGATTCCCACCACCACATCGTTGACCGGCGATCACAGGACCAGCATATATGTGAACCATACAAACAATACGTTGGGTCCCAAAGATCTGACAAATGTCAATGTCTTTCCCATTGTCAATACTACTATCAATTGTGAGCCATTAATTAACAATTCTGTGGCCGCCGCCTACGATGTCAATATGGGTGCCCTAACGATGGCCGCCAGTGCCGAGAGTCCGAAGTTGGGCCGTAAGACACAGAAATATTATTTGACTGACGACTCAAGTGATTACGGGTGTCGACGACTGGCACAGAGTCGATGCCCAAAGAGTTCGTGTAGAGACTTATATAGTTTGCATTCATCGACACACTCGCCGGTGCCCATCGAACATGTCTACGAGTGCATCGATGAGGACCCATATGTGGCCAAACTATTACTGCCAGCCATTCAGAGGTCACTCGATGGCCAACACGCCAGAGCTGTGAACGATGCCTTAAGACACTTAGATAATAGACCACTGATATCGTGTTCAACAACAGTGAAACCACAGTCAAAATAATATATATATTTAAGAGTTATGCTCTCAATTGATACTCAAGTGATTTGGTTGTCAACTATTGAATTGGGTTTTCAACTAAAAATAATAATAAATATTTTAGGAAATTATTCATCGAAATTATTTATAGAAATAATTGGTGTCAACGTGTGTTTGCCAGTAATAGTGAGATCAATAGCTTAACATTGATTGTAGTGTCCATTGAATTGATCATAGGATGCATTTCATAACCATCTTTAATATGTTTGAAAAATCTCATCAATGATGGCATTGATTGTGTCATAAATTTTAACCGAAATTGTGATAATTTTTCTTTATTAAACAAACTTTTAAGTGTTTTTTTAATCAAATTTATTGTAAAAAATAATAATTTTTCAATATAGTTAAACAAATTTCAAAAATAATTTACCATGCTCATCATCCACTTAAATATAATATAATTAATAATAATAATAATAATAATATATTATTGTAAAAATCATTTACAAATTGGTTTGGCCAGATATTTGGTTGTAATTGTTAGACCAGTTTTTATTTTCTGGCCAAAAACCTACCAAACCTGGGGGTCACAAGAAAGAGCTAACAAAAATCTAATCAATAAATTATTGGATACTTAACCCAAAAAAAACAACATTATTTGCCAATTGTTTTTTTTGTTGTTGATTGTTGTTTTTAAAAAATCCAAATTTATTATAATTAATAAAAATCATAAAAATAATAAGTGGAAATAAAATCATAACTTAATAATATTGGTATCAAATAAATAAATAAATAAATAACACAGATCTTTTTATATAATAATAATTTGTATATATTATTTTTAATTACAAATAATTGTATAGAAAATCTGTGACTTATTTAACAAATAGTTTATTTAATGATAATATTTATTATAATAATGATAATTAATTGTATGATAATTGTAAACAGGACACCTATATGAACAAATTGTTAGAAACAAATTAATTATAATAATTGATATAACATTTAAATTGCTATATTATATAAATATTATAGTGAAATCTCAAACAATTTTAATAATAATAATAAGAATATTCATAAATATTTAAATTTTAATATAATTTATTTGTATGATAAATGTAAATTATGTAAATAGATATACATATAAAAAAAATATATATATATAAATTATATATAATGTAGTAAATTTATAACTATATAAATATATTCTCTTTATTTGTTAATAAAAATTTCAATTTTAAAGAATAATAAAAATGTATAAAATGCATTATATTGATTAAATAAATTTTTATATTATTAATAATAAACATATTACATTAATTATTACCGGTCTATAAATTTTTATAAAAATATATAATGATTGATTTTAGCTAATTAAATAAGGCATTTATTATCATAATATATGTATTAAACAACAACAACAACATTAACAAAATAAAAAGAGTTATTTTAATTTATGTCTTAATGAATTGAAACATACATTATATATACTGTATATACTAAACGATATAATACTTTATATATCATATATATAGTATACTAGGAGTACATAAAATATTTTTAATGGAATTTACAACAAAAATTTCCCAAACATTTTCAACAAACACACACAAAATAAATACGACTAACTCTTTGCTTATTATTACCACTAAAACCACTAAAAATTTTTGATGTGTTTTAATAGTTAAAACCACTAAAAATTTTATGTATGGTTTAGTTTTCTATCATTTACTTTAGTACAATATAGTACAGTATTAATAAACATATTGTATACACGCTTTGCTAATCATAAATAAAAGGGGTATATATTTTATATACATAACCACAAACATAATATTATATAAATATAAAAATATAATCGCAAACAAAATCACTTTGTGTGTAAATTCTCCATAAAACCAGAGCACTGGTAGATAAATATATATATATATAAATCAGGTTTTCGGGTACTCTGTGTTTTTCAAGTGCTATTATATAATATAATACATATATACATATATATAAATTTATATTTATTTATACCATTGATATTATGATTATTATTGTTGTGTAATACAAATATAGTGTTCACACACACAACACAACATAAGACAAAAATAAACGAGTATTTTATGCATAATTGAGATTAACAGTAGACTTAACTCTTGTATAATATTCATATGAAATATTGTGGTTTAAGTTTTATATATTTTTTGTGAGTCACTTATCATTAATAATAATATTATGTATTGTTATTATTATTATTAGTATTGAAGCAAATTTCTCAAAAAGAAAAAAATTCTTGCATTTATTTATATAATTTACACAAAAATTATACATAAATATATTATTTTTTTTTAGTTCAACAATATTTTTTCGGGGCTAAAGTTAATGATAACACGAAATATATCACAAATAATGGGAATATTTATAATATTGTTAGTTTAAACACAATTATTACTGAATAGAGTGTATAAAAATATCATATAATGACTTAAAAAATACTTTATTTCAACTTTATATATATATCTATATAATTCAAAAATTCTACAATAATTTTAATAATCTTTACATTCATATAAATAAATAAAAAAATTGCCTTAAATTTAAAGATTAATAACAACATTATATAATAACTACTGTTATGTCAACTATAAATAAAAAATAATTATTATGAAGTATTTAATTTTTTTTGTAAAATTTTTTATCATCTCAATGGTTGGTCTCACAATTTTTCGTAAAAAATATCGATAAAAATTTTAAACAAAAAAAAAAGAGAAAAGGTTATCAAAATATTCAAAAATATTTATTTATTTTACTTTTTTTGCTAATCTACTTATTTCTTTAATTAAAGTATTTTGTTTTTATCGCAACATCTATAATCACATATAGAGTATAATAATACAGTAATTTATAATCATTTAATTAATTATTTTTTAAAATACTATATTAAAGTTATTACTGTATTTAGTATACGTTTTGTATAAATGTATTGATAATATATAATTGCAATGAATCGACCAGAGATGTCATACTTGTAGTATACATCCACATAACACACACACACATATACACAATAGCACACACCTAAAAAACATAACAAACCATTTGACAGACAGATAGCTTTATATACCTTTATATAGAATTTTTTAGGTATAATACTGTATTAATGTACATTAAATACTAAGAGGAAAGTTATCTGCAAACATAATATATATATATATATATATATCATACAGTATACGAAATCCAATTGAAATTAAGTACAAAATTGAAATTCAATGACAAACATGTATAGTATTTGACTGTTATATATATATATATATATATACTGTACTACACATTCACTATTTTAATGGTGATGTTTGGCATTCAATTGATTATACATTTTAGATATATGTTGTTATTATAAATATTTAATACCAAAGTCTCGCTTTATATTGAATTTATTTTTTCCCTAAAGTTTTTTTTTTATAAATACATTTTATTTACTACAGAGAGTTGTTTTTGTTATTATTATTATTACCAGACATTTGCAGAGAAAATTACATTTTTGTTTTTTTGTTCATTAATTATTAGTTTACATAATAGTCTACTGTATTTAAATTATTCAATAATTATTTTTTTATAAATATATATTTATAAACACAACAATCATTGATAATATGTCGGCAATTATTGAAAAGGTATGGTATAATTATAATTATTTAAAAATTTAGCATGCTTATTTAAGAAAAATGCTATTTTATTTAATTTTTTATTATTTAAATTATTTTGAGGATAACTTTTCAATTATTGTTATTATTATTGTTTAGTTTATCCCTAAAAAATATATTGTAATTTATAATTATGATAAAAAAGTATAATTTTAACGATTATTATTACTTTTTTTAATTAAATAATTTTTGTGTTTTATTTTCAATTTATTTTAACTATTTTGTTGTTGTTTTGGTTTGTTTTGCTATTTATTTAATAGTATATTATATTTTTTTAAATAGTTTTTTTTATATATTCCCAAACACACAATAAAAATACAATACAATCAAATGAATTGATTTTAATCATAATATATTAGTTACATTATTATTGTTATTATAAATATTTATACACAGTATTTATTAACTATTTATTTAAAAATTAATTTATTTGCCAAACCCTTGAAAAAAAGTAAAGTTATGCAATGTTTGCTACAATTGTGTAATAGATTTTTAACATTATGTTTACAATAATTTTGCTGAATATTATATATATATAATATATTTATATGTAATATAATGCCCCAAATAATAAAATCTTGATACCTCTAATTAATTTGCTTGTTTATTAAGCAATCATAAATATATATATAAATTTGTGTTTCGATAGCCATCTAAATTAGCTATAAAAATCATATTATATACTATATAAATATGATATATAATTATTTAAAAATTGTTTAATTCATAAAAAATGATTATATGAAATGTAATGTTATTTACTATTCTTTTTTAATGCATTTTTATTGTTTTTTTTTGTTAAAATAAGTATATGTAATTCATATAATGTATATATAATGTATATATTATATAACAAAACAAAATGAAAAATTTTGATTTTTAAACTACTAGTCTTTGTCACAATTTTTTTATTTTTCTCAAAAAAATCATTTGAGACCTTCAAGTGTTTAGCATATATGTGAAAAAATAGTGTACTTCAGTGTCATTTAGTAACATAACAAAAATATAGTTGATTTAAAAAAGCACTCATAACTAACTATAATAGTTGTTTGGATAGCATTAAGTTTAAAGTCTATGTGTGTTAGGGTCTTATATCATATATAGTTATAATAATAATAATAATATCATAATATCTGTTTGTTTGACATTTTATATTTTTGACTTAAAATTAAATATCAAAAGCAATTTGTGTTGTAATCCATTAGATATCAAATATGTTATTAATATATTATTAGTCAATTTTATTATATAATTTATATATATTCTGTGTATATCTAATCGGCTTATTCTCTCTCTCTCTCTCTCTCTCTCTCTAAAAATATACTGTTAGACTGTTTAACTAAAAAAATGTTATTTTGTTGCTATAAATTATATTTTACATGTCGTTTAAATTGATTTTTACGCTTAAAATATAACAAAATAAATAAAAACATTTATATGCGTTTACAAACCATATGCTATGCCATATATTTTCATTGTAAATATTTATGCATTAAAATATATATCATATATAATTCAATGGATACAAATATATATATATTTATGTATATTACTGTATAAAAAATGATTTATTGCAATATAAATGGGATCCAAATTTAGCCCAACTTTCCCATTGATTTCCGATTATATGTGAAAATATATTTCCCCTAAAAAATACAGTTATATTTGTGTTGAAACAGTGATAAAAATCTACACTTATTTTTTGCCATTATTATTGACGCGTAAAAAATAGATGACATGTTTTAGCAGATAATATCTAAAACAAACACAATTTTTTTGTTGTGTGTGTCAGACAATAGTTTATTTTAGTCATATTTTTCTGCAAATTGTTTGACACCTAAACTATACACAAATTAGTTCACACAAAGCACTGACAGTTTTGATAAATAACCGATAATAATGATAATATTAATAATACAATTTAATTATATTGGAGTTCATTTTAAGTACAAATCTTATTAGTAACAAGTATTGAATATTTAACTTACAGTATATTTATACTGAATTTTTTTGTATTAAAAATATTTTTATAATTTATAAATTAATGAAAAATATTTCATTTGATTGACTCAACAGTATATAGTATGCCTGTATATATAAGCTTAAAATTATAAATATTAAATTATAATAATATAACAATTAAAATAAATAACAAACTTATTTACCCTGTACAGTACAGGCTGTACTGTATAATAAATAAAATTTGTACAATTTTTTTTATATATATAAAGTGCATTCATACTAAACTTGATTAAAAACTACAGTAGAATTTTATCAAATGCAAGATAAAATAAATAAAAACTAATTTTTAGTTTTTTTTTAAATGAAATGTCTCTCAATATTTAATGACATTTTAATAGTAACATTGAAAGTATCCATATTTAAAAACAATTACTTCATTAAATTTCAAGTTATATTATTATCAATTAAGACTATATATATATATATAAATAAATATTATTCAATAAAATGTTCAATAAAATCCCTTTTAATAGATTCAAATTGATTCAGTAATTTAATAATTGTGATTAATTTAAATGTGTTTTTAAAATTGCAAATTAAGTTTTTTGAAAAACATTTTATTTTAAAAATTACTACAAATTGATGACTTGGTGATTTGTACAACTATTAAAACACCTACTCAAAGTGATTTTCTGATTATTATTGATTTTTGTTTCAGTAAATATAGTTATTTAGCAAATTTTGCCCTGGGTCTGACATAAAGGTGTTAAAAAATCAATTGAATTAACTATATATATATATATATATATCATAATATTTAATAATATGGCATCCATAAGTAAGGTATGTCTAATACAGTATAATAAAAATTTAAATTTAATTAAATATCAATTGATATTTATAATTGTATGTAAAAAATATTTATACAGTAATTGTCAAATAGTGTATAAAACTTGTTTAACTATTATAAAAAAATGTTTTCATGTACACTGTTTTGATGATTTGATATTTAATAATTGAAATGTCCTTGGTAACAACCAAATAATATATGCATAAACCTGTATTTAGAGTAGTAATGGTATAATTTAATAAGCATGGTAATTTGGATTTTTTTATTATAAATATTTCATATAAATGTTATTTAAAAAATTTCTTACCTTTGAAATTACAATTGTTATTATTGGAAATACAGTACACTATTACTGTATTATTTATTTATTTATTAGTTGCAGTAAAAATGTTTAGTAATTTTGTAAGATATATGCAAACAAATGAAATTGATGTTCAATTATAATAATTAAATAAATAGCAATTATGTGTCAAAAAAAATTATTATTATTTTGTTTATATATATATATGACAATAAGTTTTTTTTAAAAATTGAATATTTTGTTCATAAACTCACTAATATTCATACAGAGTAATATAAATTGAAAACTGATTATTAATTATAATAATATACTTTAGTATAATATTAAGGTTTATTGGTATATAAAAGTTTTTATACCGATATTTCCTAAGAGATCTAAATTGAGTTTATTGACTGTTTGTGTCCCCTCTCTATCACTGTATTTAAAAAAATGTATTTCAAGAGCAGAGCCTAAACTAACTTAACTCATCCCCAAATGTATTGGAAAACTAGTTTTATTCTCAGATTTATTTATATGATTATCATTAATATTATATTTACTATTATTATAATTATGGACCAAATGTAATGAATAAAAAACACACACCAATAGCTTGTATTTATTTTTATTGTGAAGTAAAACGTTTAAAATAGAAATACATGTCATGTCATTCAAATAAATTGTCTAAAATAGACTTTAAAAATTAATTTGTGATATTTTGTTTTGTTTTGATATCTAAATTTTAAATCAGTGTAACATATCTGTGTGTATATATATATCTAAATTGTTAAGACAATGATGAGAGCCGACTATAAGATAATTGATATCGAAGATAATTATAAGACATTTAGATTTAATGAAATCACATCCGATTATGAGGTAGAAAATGTTATCATCACTAGTGGTGTCTTATTAACTAATTTTAAGCATTTAATGTCTTTTTTAACTAAAAATAATAATTGATTTATTTGTTTTTTATCAATTGATAGGCCATTACGAGAGCCCGTATGGCATTCGCCAGGAATACCACCAAAAGTCTGGACTTTCGGGTCTCGCAATTGAAAGCATTAAATCGTTTGCTCAGCGAAAACAAAGAGACATTTGTGTCGGCAATGAAAGAAGACTTTAAAAAAGTTTGTTAATTAATATGATTTGAAACAATATATTTGAGAAACAATTAATTGAATTTTTTGTTTGTTTGTTAACAATAATTAGCCGCCATTTGAGACAATGTTGGCTGAAGTGGAGTTCGTACAGAACGACATCAAAGATCAGTTGTTACACATTAAGGAAAATATGAAACCGACTTATGTATCGAAAAGTATACCCGTTATGATGGACACAGCATTGATACACAAAGATCCATACGGTTTGGTCCTTATTATCGGTGCCTGGAATTACCCGATTCAGTTGGCACTCTGTCCATTGGTCGGTGCCATATCAGCGGGAAACTGTGCCATTATTAAACCATCGGAGATATCGCCCAATACGGCAAACGTTTTGGCCGAACTGATTCCAAAATATCTGGACAATGTATGTGTGATTTTAATTAAATTATTTCTGTCAGATTAGTAAACGAAATCTTGGTTTTTTTGCCCAATTAAGGAATGTTTTCATGTGATAACTGGAGGACCAGTCGAAACACAAGTGCTCCTAAAAGAGAGATTTGATTGTATGTTATTTTTAATAATTAATTTAATTATTAATCAGAATTTAATTAAATGAAATGATTTATTATTATTATTGAAGATATCTTCTTTACTGGTTCGACATCTATCGGTAAAATTGTTGCCGAAGCGGCCGCCAAACACTTAACACCACTTACTCTTGAATTGGGAGGAAAGAGGTATTCAAAAATACTTTCAATATTTATATACTGTTTGTGTATCAACTATTTATGAATTATTTATTTGTCACCTAACAGTCCCCTCTATATCGACGATACCGTTCCTAATCTGGAAATCGCTTGGAGACGAATACTATGGGGAAAACTGTTAAATGCCGGCCAAACATGTGTGGCACCCGACTATATACTGTGTACGACAAAAGTACAAAAAACATTGATAAATGCGGCGGAAAAAATTATCAAAGAATTTTACGGCGAAGATCCGCAAAAGTCACCCGATTTCTGTAGGATTGTCAACACTAAACACTTTGAACGCGTGGCTAAATTGATTGACTCGAGCGGTAAGCCAGTGATCGGCGGCCAAAAGGATAACACCGAAAACTATATCGCACCCACCATTTTGGTAGACGTCTCGCCTAATGATCCCGTAATTACATAACTGTTAATTATTGATATTATTTTGTTTTTTTTAATAAATTTTTAATTTTCAAATTCAGATTATGAGCGAAGAGATCTTCGGTCCGGTTCTTCCTATTGTAAACGTTTCCTCAGAAGAAGAAGCCATTAATTTCATCAACAAAGGAGAAAAACCGTTGTCTCTGTATTTGTTTTCGTCAAACAAAAACACAATTAAGAAGTTTTTGAACGAAACTTCTAGCGGTTCTGTTTGTGTCAACGATTGTGTCTTTCATTTATGCGGTAATTAAAAAATCATTTATAAATGTATCGAAAAAATAAACTATTTTTTGTATATTTATTTAGTGGACACTCTTCCGTTCGGTGGTGTCGGTCATTCGGGTGTCGGTCGATATCACGGAAAGTATTCGTTCGATACGTTTACTCACGAAAAGTCTGTTCTGATTCGTGGATATAATCCAGTGTTGGAAGCGCTCGGATCGTAAGATTACGATATTTTTAAAAATTATTACTAAATTTAAATGATATTTTAATTTGAATTATTTAAGGAAACGTTATCCGCCGTACAGCGACGGTAAGGCAAGATTCATGAGACACTTGTTGGCCAAACGCCGCGATTTTACACCAAAATATTTGTCTCATTATGTGATGTGTGCCGTCGGCGCCATTACAGTACTGGCCATACAATCATTTGTTGTTTAGAGAAAAAAAAGAAGAGTACAATCCGTGTTATATTTTTAATTTAATTTTTTTTAAACAATTATTATTGCAATTGAATTACGATATTTACAAAATATCTTTTTTTTATTTGATATAATTAATTTGGCGCACATTTTGTTTAGTGCATTGAAGATTTTTTTATTTTAGTTTATTTTATTTTTTTAACACACAATTCTATAATTTATATTTATATATATACCGTATAATCATTTAGATTAAATATTATTGATTGATTATATTGATTATTGAAATTGAATTTTTGAAATTTAAAATAACTGTCAAAATACTATACATGTATATAAATTTTATTTTATTTATCAAAATGTTACTTTGAAATATTTTTGTATAGATTTGGACAAAAAATAATTACCGTAATAATTTTTTTTATTTACAATTATTAAGTTATTAATCTGAAAAAAAATAAATTATAATACTTTCAATAATTAATTTAATTTTATATACAGTGGATTTAATATCTATGTATTGATAAAACTATTAATATATCGAAAACTATTTGACCAATTTTAATGCGGTTTATTTTATATTATAAATTCACACCATATTGTGAATTAAAAATAATATTTTATACTAAATCTAGAATTATTTTTAAAATTATAAATTAAAGTTAAGTTTTAAACAACAAGTACTTAAATAAAAAATATTTTTTATATATAATATTTCAATTAGATCAAAGTTATTTATTTATGACAATTGAATTTGGAAATTAAGATTATTAAAAAAAATTATGTTTTTAAAACTAGATTTAATATTTATAAAGCGGTTATAATATATTTGTTCGATTAATTATCATCACTAATGTAAACTAATTGATAATTATTGAAATTAAGTCACAAAAAACTGATTTTAAAAATACTTACATATAATGTTTAAAATATATTTTATGATTGATTAATAGTGTATTGATTAATAATTTTTTATACTCTATTAAATAGTTGTTATAATAGTTGCCAAAAAACGTCAAATAGTTGTTAAAATAGTTATTTAAACTGTATTAAATAGTTGTATATAATTGCCAAAAAAACCAAATAGTTATTGAAATAGTTATTTATTTTCTTATAAATATTTCAACTGATATATAATTCACTTGTTTTCAGCATATTTACAAAAATGATTTATATAAATAAACTAATTATTTCTATTGTTAAAAAAGTAATATGAGTTGATAACAGTTTACACATGTTATATAATTTATATAATTATTATTTTTTGTTTTTACATATATTTGAGCAATATTTTACAATCTAATGCTTATATTTTTCAAAATAACTGAAATAGTTATTTATAAGTTTTTATAGTTGCTAACCTAACAAATAGTTATTTATAGTTATAATAAAATTTCGGAAATAGCGTCCACTGGTCAACTTCGGTGGACATACTAAGTCCCAGTTATAAGCGTTAAACCGACAAAATAATTTTTTTAGTTGAAAATCAAGACACTATTGATTAATTTCAAGAGTATATCTATAAATTAAATATATAAAAACATATAAAAATAAATAATATCACATGAATAATACTCAATATAATATTTAAAGTATTTTTTTAAACTACAAAATAATAATAATATATAAATTATATGATATGAATGGTTTATTTTATTAAGTGTTTTAACATTTATTATAAATGTTTGTTAATGAAAATCTAAACATATTGTTCACCTATGGAAAGTGATCTTGGTGTTTTTATTACATGACAATAATGTAAAAGTATTATAAATTAGTAAATGGATGAATAGACCAGAAATCATATACATTGTAATAATAATAATATTTAAACTTTTCAGATATTTTTTTGTTGATCGGGTCCTACACTATACACACCCGACTCATATGACAGGTTCTACCTGTATAGTTTTTTAATTGAAATTTTATTTATTTAAAATAATCTAAAAATAATAATATATAAAAAAACTAATATAATTAAAAAATATATTTAAAAAAAGTTATATAAAAATAAATTTTACTGTATATACTGTTCTAACATAAGTATATGATATATATATATATATATATATATAAACTACAATTTTATAGTTAATTAATGGTTAAATGGTTAGTTTAATCGCTAATTTGAGAGTGAGTTGTATGACAATTGGTGTCCAGTTTTTATACCATTTGTAAAATTAAACTTTGATTTTGTGTTAATTATATCTTTTTTATGTTTGTTTTTCTTACAATATATGTGTAATTGTTATTTGATTTTGTCAAATAAGTAGAATAATGAACAAACCTATGAATGTAAAGATCCACAAATTGATTCATCAAATAATTTAAAGTCTGATTACTAAAAAAACAATTTGGAGTCAACTAATATCAAAATACTAAAATGAATGTATTAAAAGTTGTGGTGATATGGAAAGTTATAAAAAATAATAGAATAAATTATGATTTTACTTTATTTACTCCCGATTATCAATATATTGCATTTCAATTTATAAATTAGATTTTTAGTGATGAATTTTAAAAATTGAAATAAATTAAAAGTAAAATTTTATTGATTATGAATAGCGAATATACTGCTAATAAATATTTACATTGTTATGTGTTTATAATTAAAAAATAATCATTTTACTTTAACATTTTATTTCAAGTCATTTTCTAAAATCCGTATATCAAAGAGGCTATTACTAATTGTATATCAATTATTAAATTTGTACAAAAAATTAATAATTGAGAACAAAAACTAAATAAATGTAATATAAGGAAAATATAATTGTTTTGTATATAGTATTGATTTTACTGTAAAAATAATTGTATAAAAGAGAATTGTATATCATGTTAAAAAACTATTAGTAATTAAATTGTAAATATTTTGTTTAATTTATTATAAATATCCGAAAATATCTTACACTTATTCTAATAGCGTTAGCAATACGGTACTAATCCGGTTAACATTTATTTAGTTAAATCATGTGAAGGAAAAATAAGTCCAATAGAGTCTGAGAACACTGAGTCTCCGCTATTAACAATCGGTTTTAGTAAGTAATGTGTGTATAGAGTATATGTATAATAAAATAATACAATAAAATGTCTTATATGTGTATATAGTGCTAAATGTATTGGTATGCATATGTAATATTGTATATATATTGTAGTGTTAATGTTAAAAGCATTGGTATGCGTGTGAGTAATACGGGTGACCATTGATGTCCAATTTTATCACCTTAACTGATTCATCCATAAAAATAACTGATACTATTTAAAACTACTAGATATTAAACTACTTAAATATAAAAAATAATTTCAATCGGCCACCGGCTAAGGGCAGTTATGCAACTTTTAATTTTTATAAAATACAAAAATGCTGCATATCTTACAGTTATAAAATAGTAGAAATAATTGCATTCAATTTTAATTGTATTAAAATAATAACTTTATTTAATATTTAAAATGAATTGAAAAATACCATAAATGAAAAAATACTTTGAGTATAACTTTCAATACTAAAGAGTGAATCACATATCGTATAGTGTGATACATGAGCTGATATATACCTCTTTTAGGGTATGCTGTGTACAGTATGTTTGTAACCACTGTTTATATGCACCCATAGGTCATCCGTTGGCAACTGGTGTTTGTCAGTCTTTATAAAGTGTTTTATTGATATACAATAGTTATTGGATTTTTAAGTTTCTAATGGGTATTATTTGTATGATATGTTTGGGAAACTAATAATTATACAGTATTTGTTAAAATATTTGTTTAATTAAAATAAGAAAAATGTTGATTAAATGCACTTTTATTGATCACAACTACAAATATAAAACTGATTTTATAGTAAGTGATTATATAGTGAATAAAATAATTTAAAAATAGATAATTTTATCTTAAATATATTAGTCAATACTGTTATTATTGTTTTAAAAATATAAGGATTAGTTTTATTTTATAAATTTGCTATTTTTGTTAGTTTTAATCAATTTTCTAAATTACACTTAATTTATTGTTTAATAATTTTTAATTTATACATAAATTGAATTATTATTAGAGAGTGACTTACCATAAAAGTTCAGTAAAGCTATTATACATTAAAAAATATTTTAATTTTATGAATATTTTTCTGAAATCTTAATATAAATGATTGTTTAGATATTACTGTTTTATATCATATTTTGTTACATCAGATTTGTTCCCTATTTTTATTAACCAAAAGTTCCTTATGTTTCCTACTCTTGAAATTCACTGGAAATTTATTTTATAATAATCTTTAAAAAACAAATATTATATTAAACTTTGTTTTAAGTTCTACTGATTAATAGTTTAACTAAATTTAAATTTATTATTGAATATTTCAATATTTTTGTTGCAAATATTTAAATTTTAATAGTATTTATTCTAATTAAATAAACTGTAATAATAATTACAATTTCTAAAAATCAAAGTATGGAAAATAAAATATATTCCATATTTTCCGAAAAAATTGGAGGCATTTTTTGGGTAACTTTCCTCTCTATAAAAATTGATTCCTCTCTCTCTCTCTCTCTCTCTCTCTCTCTATATATATATATATATATATATATATATATATATATTTAATTCAATGTAATGCATACCTGTACACAGTTTTGCAGACATCAAACAATACAATACAAACTGTTTTGTGAAGTTAGGAGTGGACAGTATAGTCGCATATATTTTTTAGTAATACTTTATTTAAAAATCTATTCAAAAAATAGTACTTATTATATGTTATATAATATACTGAATTGTATATAATCTATGTCTGGATAACAATCTCCGGACAATTGTCTGCTTTTTTCAATCTACTGGTGCTCTCTGTATGTGTTTGTCAATAGACATGTGTGATATGTGTCGGTTGAATGTCTGAACCGTAGACTTAGCAGACATTCATGCAGTCAAACGGTGTCTGAGTTTATTGTCAGAGCTTTTATTCACTATAGTTGTTGAATACATTTTTTTTGAATAAATGGACAATTTTTTTAAATATTCAACATTTAATTAGGAGAAAAATTTATTATGAAATACAAGTCATAATTATTATTTGAATTTTATTTTAAAATTTCATACAAAAAATAAAAGTTTTTTTTATTGTAAATATCTATTGTGTAATCAAATGAATTTATAGTAAAACTACTGTACATTTGGCACTTAAATTAATTGACAATCATTTGAATGTATGAAAATCAATAGATTTTTCAGGGGTTTTAAATAATAAATAATATTATCTTTATATATATATATATATATAATTGAATAATATTTTTAAAAATAATATTTGTTTAAAAATAAAATGATAATAAAGTAAAAATATTTTACAAAAATATTTAGTATAATCTAAGATAAAGTATTCAAAATATTTAGTTCAAGTCTATCCAAGATTTTTGTAATCTATTTGACAAACAATTATATTTCTAAACAAATATTTCTAATACAATATATACTGTATTTTATGGACAGTTAGTGTAAACATATATTTCTAATTAAAATAAACTTATTATTGTATTAATAAACATATAAATAGAATATTATAATAATTTATATTTAAATATATATTTATTTATAAAAAAAGTATTAATAGAAATTCAAATATTTGTGTCACTTATCTATCAGCCAATCATATCGTTAACATTGAAATTCAAATGACATGAATGTATAAATACTGTGTTACTATTGGTTAATATTTATAAAATTGAGAGTAAATGTCGTCAACCGATAATAAAACTGTTGATTACATCAACAAATAATGACTGCGCAGATGCAGTGCTCTCACACTATAAACAGTATATAAAAGCAATGCAAACCTTAAACGTATATCGCATTGGATTTTCAGTTATTGTCGAAACTGTTTAACAATTTTCATACAAAAGTCCTTACATTTTAACAAAAGAATAAAATTTCGTAAAAAATTTGTGTCCATTTGATTGACAATTGGTTTAAATGTAAGTTTAATTTATAAATTTGCTAGTGTTTAATGTTCTTGTAATTGTAATTTTAGTAATTTTAAATTTAATCAAAAAAAGTACTTTAAAACAATACTATTTCAGTTATATATTATAACTATTTTTTAAATATAAAAATAATTAAAGTTAATTAATTTATATAAATTAAATATAATAATGTGTTAAGTTAAATAAATAATGTAATATTGTTTAAAATACATAAATTACGCTAAAATTAATTTATATGAATGACGCATGCGTTAATTGTATTTATAAATTATATTACTGTACCATTTTATTAAAAGTTTATAATTACTTAAATTATAATTATAACTATGTTTTTTCGGGAGTTAAAATGGCCAAAATCGGGAAATTAAATTTTGTTTTTTCTTATAGTACTAATAATAAATAGATTATATGTCAGAAAATCGGTTTTATTTACTGAAATTAATTTATTTTCTGTTTTTAATTGATTACTATTTGTTATTAATGGATAAACTGATTGATTGAATTCCCGAAAAAACATAGCTTTAGTTATAATATATGTCTACAGTTTGCAATACACACACAAAATACATTTCAATGCATTTTTATACTATAAATATATCTAATAAAGTATTAACAAAACACTATATCGGACCACATATTATTTGTTCAATAATATACAGTTAGTGTTGGGATTATATTTACATTTGTTGTCTATTTTTATTGAAATTATGATTAAACTATAGTAATATAATTGGTTTAACTAAACAAAAATATAATTTTGCAATTTTTTCAATAATTTAGAGGGATTTTATTTGGAAATTTTCTATAAGGCGTGGTTCACATATTACGTTCGCACTTTTTAAGAAATCTAGACTCCCTCCCTCCCCTATGATCGCATGTAGTCATTTAAAAAAACTACGTTCGCTTATCCCTAATCACTACACCCTCCCCCCCACCACAAGAAATAACATATATCTAAATGCGAACGTTCTTAAAGTCTCTACCCATCCCCTCCCCATTGTTCGCAAAAGTTTGCTTTGGCTAACCCCCCCTCCCCTCAAGTGCGAACGTAATATGTGAACAACGCCTAATTAGAAAGTTACCAAAACTATTTACATTTATTTTAACAGTTAAGATTAGGTTTTTAAAAATTGAAAATTTAAAAAAGATAAATTATTAAATTTTTTATTAGTACAGTATATCTAAATAATAACTAATAAATATTTAACAAAATTGTTACCAATAATTAAAATTTGAAAATATTGTTCCAAAAAAATATAATCAAATATTTTGGTAAATTGTTTTTGATTTCTAAAAATATAAGATGTGTTTTGTTGATAATATTATTGTTTATTTTTTTTTATTATTTTAATCTTTAAAATTAAGATTAATCTGTTATCAAACAGAGAACTAATATACTAATCTTTTTATAGATTTTTGTTGACTAAACAATTTGAATGTTAAGTTCAAAGTTTAGATCATATATTATAATTTAATTGATTTTGTAAATTATATTTTCAAAAATAAATACTAAAATCTTGTTTTGCTTAAGTTTTTCTGTAAGTTTTAGATAAGATTGTAATTGGTCATTTTTAATTAATATAATTGATCAGATAATATACAATCGTCTTTAAAAAAAATTGTAAAAATTATAGTCGACTACAATTATCTGTCCAATCATGAAATTAATAAAAAAAATAAAAATCTTATTTAGTTTAAAATAGTCTAAAACTTTACCGAATTTTTAAATCGAACCTATTTTTGATGAGATAATTGAAATTAATAGCATCGCCGCCGATATTTAAGACTCTGATTATGTTTATATCATCAATAAAACACTAAAATCTTCATTAAAACATAAGTAAAATTAATAATATAATTATCAGTGAATTATTATATATTATGTTTGATTAATATTATTATCGATCATAACATTCATCTGATTTGTTTGACATAAATATTTGTAAACTTATTAAATAATTTAATAAAAATTGTTGTTTACTCTTAGTGTCAATAATTGTATAGTTTTCGGCAATCTATGAATTGTATGACAAGTTTATACATTTGAATGCATTGACGGGGTTTTGAAAACCATTAAACTATGTTCCTCTCTAACGATATATTGGTTATAGCATTGCGTATACAGTACTCTATGACAATCAATAGTGTTATCTAAGAGGAGTACCTATTAATGAACGGCCAGTCATACACACCGGTCAATGACAAGTGAGGGTATTTGAGGGTTAATATCTTGAAAACCTTATGATTAAATTTTCTCAAATTTGACTAAAATAAAGAATATATACACGAAATTATGTGATAAAATTTTAAAAAAATTATTTTTTATATTTTTGATATAAGAAAATTAATTAATTAAAAAATACAATTTTACATATCGTGTGTTTATCAGATTAACACTAAAGTAGACTCCATTAGACTCGGCATTGATTTCGAATAAATTAGAATATAATTTAAGTTGAATCAATGCAAATATCAATGGAATCCACTTTAGTGTCAAATCTGGTTAAGACATGAATTAAAAATTGTATTTTTTCATTAATTTTCTTATATTTTCAAAAATTATTTTTTTGAAAACTTCATAACAAAGTTTCGGATGTATATGTGGACAATGATTCAGTACACATATATTATTATTACTATTATTATTAACGCTAATAAAAACTACCAAAATATGTTTAGTGACTCGTCTGGGTTGCGAACCCGTGTTATCGGACACAAAGGCCGACACCTTAGCTTTTCTGCCACTCAGACAATATGGCAATGAATATGACTTATTGCCGGCAAATATGATATTCAATCCTATATTCCAATCAATGGACAAAATAATAGCCATTTGTTTCAATTGTTTGCATTTGTGACAAACCGGTTGTCGGTATCATTAAGTTGTTTTGATTTTCAAGTTTATCAATCAATAGATTCAATGATCGAATTTGTTGGCCATAAGTGGCCGTAAAGTGTTAGTTATAAAAATTATAAAATTGAAATTTTTTAAAAATTATTAATAAAAATTAATATTATATATATTTATTGTTTTACTAACTTTATTTATCTTAAACTTCTATTTAAATTGTAATATGATTACTGTCATTTGAAAAATAGGTAATTTTTAATTTTTTTAGTTGAACATTTTAATTAAAATATTGTTATTTTTAGAATGAGTTTTAACGAGATTTTAACTATTTTACTTATTTTTAATTAATAATTAGATTTATATAAATTTTAAAAACAATTACATTTACTAAAATAGTGTCAATTAAAAATAAAAATTTTACAAATTTCAAAAGAAATTTCGGGCCGAAATTTTAGGGTCATTTCTCCTCGTTTTTAACACTATTTTTCCAATTTGGTCAAAAGGCCTGTGGGGTTAAATCACAATTTCTCTATCTTAGGGGGTATTTTGGCCTTACTCCTACCCCCCATACTTAACTCTGCTCTTAATGATAGTCATTGTCTAATAAGTACTTCAATGACTGTCATTAAGTGTGTACAACAGTATTATCCAATTATTTAGGCGTTATTCACATATTACGTTCGCACTTGAGGGGAGTGGGGGTTAGCCAAAGCGAACTTTTGCGAACGAGGGGGAGGGGAGGGGTAGAGACTTTAAGAACGTTCGCATTTAGATAATATCTTATTTCTTGTGGTGGGGGTAGCGGTTACGGATAAGCGAACGTAATTTTTTTAAATGACTACATGCGAACAATTGCGAAAATAGGGGAGGGAGGGGGCTGTATTTCTTAAAAAGTGCGAACGTAATATGTGAACCACGCCTTACTAACTTTACAGCAACTTATGTCAAACAAATCAGATTATTGAATCTAATTACTGATTGTAGACCTCTAGTACTAAAATTACCTTTAGCTATTTTTATGTATCTACTGTTAAATTAAGAATTTTATAAATGGAATAATGCTTAGGTGTGGAGTTTATACAAAACGTATTATATATTTTTGTATGTATATATTAAGTGTTATCTATGTGTTTGTGGTGCGTCTGCTATTGTTTTGGTTTTGTTTGTAATGAAACAGTTTTATAGAGTAAATGTCGTCAACCGATAATAAAACTGTTGATTACATCAACAAATAATGACTGCGCAGATGCAGTGCTCTCACACTATAAACAGTATATAAAAGCAATGCAAACCTTAAACGTATATCGCATTGGATTTTCAGTTATTGTCGAAAGTGTTTAACAATTTTCATACAAAAGTCCTTACATTTTATTGTTTTGATTCAAAAGAAAATAGTGACTAATTTTGTGACCATTTGATTGACAATTGATTTGAATGTAAGTTTAATTTATAATATATTTATCTAAAACTGTTAGCGTTTATTGTTCTTGTATTTTACAACAAGGGTTCAGACAAATTCCATCCATTGTTTTATTTTCCAAAAGTTATCTTATTTCCTAATTTCTGGGAATTCCCAGGGAATCTATTTCATTATAATACCACTTATTGAACCAAAAACAACAACTTTTATTATAAGATTTTAATAACAAATGTTATATTAAACTGTATTTTGAGTAAATTATTGTTAGATAGTATCACTAAATTCATTGAAATCAAATTTATTTTAAAATATTTCAATGAAATTCTATGCAAAAAAAATTTGTATTTTTATTATTTATTGTAAAAATATAAAATTTATTTTCCATTTTAACCGGCTAAGGAGTTTTCCTGGAAAATTGGAGGGATTTTATTAGAGAACTTCCCTCATTTGGAAAGTTGACTGATATCTAATTACAAGTTGGGATCAGATTCTTTCCCTGATTTTATTTTCCTAAAGTTGCTTATCTTCACTGGGAATTCATAGGGATTTTTTTGTTACAACCTATTAAACTTTAAACAACACATTTTATTACAATTTTTGAAAAACAAATATTATATTAAACTGTATTTTTAGTGATAAATAGTCACTAAATTTATTTAATCGAAAGTTATTTTTAAGTTTTAGTACTATTTATTTCTTAAATCACTAATTTATTTTCACTAAACATTGGTCTCAATTTGTTTAATTTGATTACTGGCTAATAAATATTGTATTTATAAATTATATTACCGTATGTACACACATATCACATAATAATCAATAGTTATAATGGGGTAATAAATATCATATAAGGGAATATGTAGGGAATATATTTGTATCTTTAGAAAGTTGACCGAACGCTAGAAATTTATTTCAAAAGTTAGGAAAAGTTTTAACAAATCTATTAAATTATTATTTTAAATAAACAAGCTAACTTTCGTTTAATTAAATTTAAAAAGTTTCTTAAAATATATAATATAACAATAGTTTTTTTGATAAATAAAATGACAAAATAAATATTTATATAATTTGTATGAAAACAATTGACAGTTGTTTATTATTTGTATAATAGTATCAGAATTTGAAAATTTATAATTAATATGTTTCAATAAAAATTATATAAAAAATTATAGTATTTGCTTTGTTGATAATTATAATTGTTTATAAATTTTAATCCTAATAAAAGTAGGATTTAATCAAATACATCTAATCTAATTATATTGACTTTTGTAGACAATTTTAATAAACAAATTTAATATAAATCTTAAACTTCATAATATCATATGATTTGTTTGAAAGTTTTATAACAAAAATCACTCATTTTTCATAAATACTAATATTATGTTTTGTTTAAGTTTTTCTGTAATTTTTTTTTGAATGTAAAGTATAAAATGCTTTAGAAATATTTGGACAGTTATTATTTAATAATAAGTTAAATATATTGAAAAATTTAGTACAATTGCAAAAAATTTGATAATACTAACATATTTTTATAAACCTATATATTATTATTCATTATATTTTACAATTATTTATATAAAATTATTAGCTATCAATATATATCAAATTCACTAGATAAAAAATTACTAAACATTGTATTAGTTTAGATCATGATTAATATCTTTTATTATAAGCTAGATAATTAGTTTTTTAATATAACTTATTATTTAAATAAAATCAAATATTTAATATAATGATTTTAAATTATAACTTTTTTATTCAAATAATAATTACTTAATTTTTATATTTATTCAGTAATAATAAGTAAAATTAATAATATAATTATTATTAAATTATTATAGATTAAGATATAGACCGCAAATATGGCTGATTGTGATCAACGAGAGACACAATTCTTTAGCACTCAATGTTGTAATGATTGGCACAACAAATACCAACCGAAAGTTGTGGTCAACAAGTTGTCCGAAATAGACATCAAAAAATATCTTCCTATCGATGGCCCGGAGTTGAAGTCATCAATCAATTTGATTGACAGTCAAAAACCTAAAGACAACGCAGAAACCATTTCATCGGATTTCATGCGATTCTTGAATCTGATTCCAACCGATGATCTCAAACATAAACCAATGGAAAGATTGAAACAAAGTTTTCCGGTCAGAGATATCTGTAAAGTCGATGACATTTGTGTTGATTTGGACACAAACCGTGTGATTGGAGACAGGAATGCGATTCTCAGAGCTAATGATGTGATTGTTAACAACACTACTCGTCCGGGTCCTCGAGTAATGAAGAAGAAAGGTGTGAAACGAAAAGCCAATACAAAGACTATTGATAAAAATGGTTTAAATAATGAAAAGAAACGACGATTGGATCAAAACAAGCGACTCTTGACATTTGTTTCCAATTTTGACTTTACATCCGAAATGTTTGTGTTTTTGGCTACAACTCTGAACATTAAAAGTTTATCACACAATGAGATCCAACAGATGGCCAACAAAAGCACTGAAATGAATAGATATTCAAGAAATGAGACTTTGATTTGTTTGACTGATACAGAACTGAATCGTTGGAAATCTTCCAATATTTACGAGAAGACAATCGTTGAAGAACTGGAACAACAATATAATAGAAAATATTTTTATTATTCATTCACAAGAAGACAACGTCTGGAGAGACAATTAAGACTCAAGACTGGAATTGATTGGTTGTCGAGACTATATCTGCAACAATGTCTACCACTTGATGTGTCGATCATCAGAGTTACCATTTGTGACAATTGTGGCGAAAGAGTTGCTGATCGGTGGCATTCGTGTCGGAGTTTCGAGAAAGTTGTTCGCAAATCTCAGTCACTAATTATCATTGATTTAAGCGAAGACACTGATGATTATGTATTGGATACCGACGTCGAGAATCAAATGTTGGATCCGATTATTGAGTCGTCGGCTGACAACAAACCGATGACATCTCCGACTAAACAACCGATTATTGTTATAGAAATAGATCCGACTATTGATGCGTTGGCTAAACAATTGGTCTCTAATGCAAAACGATTGCGAATTTCATTTTAAATATTCATTTTTAATTATATATTTTCAATACATATTTATTTTAATTATATAGTAATTTATAATAATAATAGATTAATATCGATACTTAATGTCATAAATATTTATTTAACCAAAAAAAATAATTTTTTAGACAATATATACTGTATTATTGATTTGATATAACAGTATTTAACAATTATTTTATATAATTTATAAACTTTAATAATAGCATATCATATCAATTGTAAATATCACTAAACATTTTTCTTATTAAACAGTTGTGTATATAATTATAAATAATTTTTAGATAAATAAAATTATTTGAAAAATAAAATCTTCATAATATTTGTTATATTAAATAAACAATTTGTGTTTTTGTACTTTTAGTTAATATTTATTATAATTTGAATTTAATATCTTTTGTTAATTACTTTAATTACTGAAGGGATAAAAAATTAAAATATATATTTTAATGTTAAACCAGTTGAGAATGCTTCAAAAGCATTTCCATACGAAATCCTTAACTTAAGAAAGAAAAAAATTCAAAAAAAAATGTTTAGCAGAGCGTGGATTCGAACCTATGTCCTCGTGGGATAGATAGATAGATAGACAGACAGACAGACAGACAGACAGACAGACAGACAGACAGACTTTTAGAATGCATATACGTACTTCTTTCAGGAGTTCGTGAAAAACATTTATTTAAAACACTTGACAAGTGATCACATTATAATAGATAACACAATAATTATAATTAAAACAAAGTTTCAGTATAAAGTAAATAGTATAAAATATTTCTAGAAATGGCTATAATATTAAAATACATATTATATTAAAAAATATTGAATTTTGATAAACATATCAATTGTTATTTTTATGTAAAAAATGTTTATACATTACATTACTGTTAACTATCTATTTATATCTATTCCTAGAATAATCAGTCATTGATTACAACTTATAGGCATTTGTGGTAAACTAACCCGAAATAAGCAAATGAATGAAATATAAATTTTAATAATAAAAAACATCAAAGTCGTAAAAAATTATAAAATGTTATTTTTATATTTATAAAACATTAGTTGAGTTTTACGGCAATTGTTTATTAGGCGCACCAATACATTAAAAAACACTGTATTTTAAAATTATTATTATATTTAATAATGAATTTGTTATACATTTGTAGTTAATTAGTTGTAGTCGTAAGCACTGACATATCGAAGCATAAAAAGTATGATCAGAGCTATCATTATATAGGGATTTAAATCAATAGATTGTCCCATAAATTATTCGGCAGTTATTGAAAAGTAATAAAGTTATAGAAAGTGAATATTTTCTATAAATGACATAAATATTGATTTTAAGTAAAGTAGAAGTTTTAATTAAATTATTGTGAAATTTTAGTGAAATATTAATAAATTATTATTAATAAACTAATAAATTAATATTTGCATTATAACGCATTAAGTTTAATACTCTATTAGTTTAATACAACTTGTATTATACAAGACATTTGACTTTTTTTTTGTTTTATTAATTTTATCAATTTGTATAGTTTTGTAATACTAACAATTTTCAATATAAAAAAGATAAATAAAATTAAAAAATTTAACCCTTACTTTATGTTTTATATTTTGAAATTGATGATAAATATCTTTTATATTATTTAGAATATATAGTTTGGCTATTAATATAGTTATAAAATTTTAAAATATAATACAGTTTTGTGTATTTCTGAATGATATGAGTTAACTGTAAAATATATTTTAGTTTACTTTATTGATGTTTAAGATTTTGTTTATTATTATTTTGATTGTTATAACCAAACAAACAATAACGTCATCGAAAACAACAGCAATTCGTTTGAATAACTTGTGGCCATCGGTCGGCTTTTTTTTATGAAAATGGTCAGAATTCTACGGAAACACTTAAAGCTTATTATTCAAAAGTCACAATTTAAAGACAAACAACTGATTTTTAATGTTGATATATTTTACATAAAATATAAAATATATTTTTTTGAATATTCTCAATATCAATGAATTTAATTAATTATATTTAACTAAAAAACATGTCGAAACATCTGTACATTCGATCTCAACCACAATAATACATTTGTTTTCAGAAAATTTTGCCCCAAAGCAGACACCAAACAAATCTAGACATTGATGATCAAAAACAAAACCTTTTTTCAATTGGAAAAATTATTCAACAAAAACATTCAGTTCCAGAAAAAGGTGGATTTGGTTTTGCTATTTAAATGTGAAAACAGCACGAACTTCGCCGGAAAAAATCAAGTTGCTGCATCAAACCACATGCTATGACCTACGTTGACCTCCGTGTCAATCAGGCCACGACTTGGGACGTTGCTCTTGCGGTGGGCACTGCTGCTGCCAGAGGTTAGCCACTGGTCACTTACGCGACACGTTAGTAAAGCGGTAAACAGGGTTTAGTCAATATTATATTTATTAGATGATTATAATAGATCATAAGTTGTATAAATGAATAATGATATATAAAAAGGTTGTTATTAATTAAGACTTATTAGCACCGGTATGTTGGGAGGGATGAGCCTCAGTCTAACTCATATCAACCGTACATCCCACTCAACATACCGGTCTTTTACATATAAAACGTAATAAAAGATTCTAAAAGCACGGTGAACGACAACTGTCGTTGCATTTCCACGGACTCCGGCGAAACTCTGGTCGAGACTAAAATCTCCCGTCGGGGTAGTAGTCGCTTCACTCCTTTACCTCCGATGGCGTGTAAAACCCGTCACTATCGGTCTTATAATAACACTTCTCGATGTTTGAAAGCCTCCGATGAGTCACTCCTCCTCTCTTCTTTGTTGTCGTTGTCGGTCTATTTTTGGTCAGCGTCCAGGTATTTCCCCTCTCAATTGAGGTCGTCTTCGAATCCATTCTTCTCGGCGTTTTTCTTCCGTTCGGTATCTTCCATCAAATCCAGGAAACGGTTAGAAGTCTTCTTAAAGTCCGAAGTAGTCGAAGTCAAAATAGCGATGATCTCCGTAACTCTTCGATCTTCCCTTCGAGTTTGGCAGTCTTGTGGTCTCTCTTAGCCACCTCTTCCACTAAAGTCTGCAAAGTCCGCATAACCATAGGCTGCTTTGACGTTCTCGGCCCTCAAGCGCTGGATCTCCTTATAAGCTTTTGATACGTCGGCGTATCGGCCAATACTGTCCTTTCTCGTGACGTCGACTCCCGATCTTCATTCTCGATAATACTGTCATCGACATTCGCATCTGCGTCGACCTCTGTCTTCCGGCCATACACTGAGTCGTACTCTTGGCTCATCATCAACTTCAGTGCCTCCATTTAATCCGCATTGCTATCCTATGAGTGTTCTCTTTGAGTTTGTTCGAATATTATAATACAAAACTACAATTAAATTAATTTATACAATAATATAATTTTGTGACAAAATCTGTCAATACGTTTTCACATTTGTTAAGTATTTATCCGATACATTGTATACGTAATTATTATATCGGATATTCATGTTATGGTTAAATGGCATAACAACTATCGGAGTAAACTCTCAGATTTGATTCTAAACGTATCTATTATCTCAACACCCGTCACAATATTAATTGTTATTCAATTAATATAATTAAAACCTCAAATCATTAATGCATTTATTTATAGTATGGCGTTGTTCACATATTACGTTCGCACTTGAGGGGAGAGGGGGTGTCGGCCAAAGCGAAATTTTGCGAACGAAGGGGGAGGGGGGGGTAAAGTCTATAAGAACGTTCGCATTTAAATAATGAATGAATTTAAGGGATTAATTTTGAGTAAACTTAATCCTTTGATAAACGGTTTAATAACTAATTTTGAATAAATATATGACTTTTGAATAATATTAATTAATTTTATTATTTGGTTATTTTAAAAGTGAAAATAATTTTATAAAATATTCATTTAAATGGTGGGGGGTTAAGGACATGCGAACGTAATTCTTAAATATCATTACATGCAAACAATTGCGAACATAGGGGGGAGGGGGTCTAGATTTTTTAAAAACTGCGAACGTAATATGTGAACAACGCCTAATAATATCATTAACACAATCAGTATTTTATCAAATGTTTCTCTTGTTATCAAATCTTGTCTAAAATCTTTCAATTATATTATCATCTTTTCATTGCCTTAACTCATCAATCTTTTTCCAGATCTGTCTGTTTGTTTAACATCACATACCGTCCCATTCAAGCAATTGTTTTATTAACTAATGGCTAATCAGTAAATACACAACAAATTGTTGGTTTAATAACGACTGAAACTAAACTGTGATTATTTGGATTATCTAATACTTGTCTTATACCGACCCAAACAACGTACTGATCCATCAATTAAGACAATGAATGTCAAACTTATAGATATAACTAATAACTTATTAAATATTTATTACTTAAACAATTTTTTAAACAAATTTAAAACTTTATTAATAATTTTATTACTTGATTTGACATGTCTTAAAAACAATTATTGTATTAAATATAAATTAATTAAATAACTTTATATTTTTACATTTATAACTGTTTATTATAAATTTGGGCCATTTTTTATAAATGAGTAAATAATTTAAAAGCTTTTGATTTCATTTTATATTACAATATATTTTATAGACAGTCAAATGGAAACATATAGTAATAATAAATTTAATATAATATTTATAATACAATTAATGTTTCTCATAATTTTTGTTTTATATAATTTTTTCAAAATTATTATAAAATATATTTTGTTTAATTTATATTTTCTAATGTTATAAATTTATTAAAAAGTTATCTTAAAGTATAACATGATATTAATGACTGATAAATATATTTAAATAGAATAGTTTTATACTAATTTACATTTAAATATATCTATTTATATGAATATTAAAACAAATAGAAAATTTATATAAAACTAATTGTTTCATAAATTTAACTCAATTTAATATATAAATATTGCGTTACTATTGGTTGATATTTATAGAGTAAATATCGTCAA